TTAACTCTCTCTTCCACTGTTAAACAAATGACTCCTGTGTCTTTTTTCATTGCAACCCTGACTTGGAAATCATGATTCAGACACCAGCTAGCTATAGATGTGTGGATGGTGAATGAAGTCATTGAGTACACTCAAACTCATCTCACCAACTGTATATTTAAAAAGGGTTTGCATGTGTAAATGTTCTTGCAAGTATCTTCAGAACAGGAGAGACAAAGGCCACTAAACTACAGAGGACTGAAGAGATGCACTGTCCATTTTAAAGAGCTGCGTGCAGTGGAAACTGCTTCCATGTCTATGCAGTGGAGACAAGGCAGAAGTTATGATTTGACTAAAGAAACAGACTTTGCTGACATAACCTGTTGTGTTGTTATGCCATCATGAGCCATAAGCATGCTTGTAGCTCACTAGATAAGTCAGTTCATTATACTGCCATTGCTGGCAAACACATGGAAGTATCCTTGGGTGGGGAAAAAAATCCAAGCGAGTAAACTCCCTCATGCAGAAGAGGCCTAAACTACGTAATTATATTAAATTTACTACAATCTTACTCAAAGGAGATCCTTTACTAGCTGGACACAAGGGGAAAGGGATGCCATTGCAGACAGACATTTTTTGTATTTCTGGAAATAAACACAGCACTGCCTTTGTTTTTCATAACCCAAAGGATTTGAGATCTTAAGGTAGCATCTGAGTAATGTTAGGGTAAAGGCCAGCTGTAACGGGGCCGTGGTAAGCAATGCCTAACTAACACAGGCTTATGAAGCACGCGTTTAGACCTTTCGTAAGCCATCCCACTGTCCCTGCCCCTCTCCAAAAGGGCCAGAAGCTTTAGAGAAAGCTAATCGCCAGAGCTGAACTTCAGTAGCCCTGTGGTGTACAATCTTGCACTTGATCTCAGATTTTCTTCTTGGCTTTCCAGTCACACAGTTATAAAGTCTAGATGAAGCTTAGTCAGGAGAAACAAGTATAAAGATCAGTCGCAGATACGAGACTGCGTTCCCAAGAAGAAAGAAGGCTCAAGGAGTTGAGTCGGCTGAAAGACACAGAAGGAAAGTTCTGACCTAGTAAAAACAACAGCGTTAAAGCCTCCAGAAATGGTAGTAACTATTATTTGATAAACTGATACAGTTGGGAAAAATGGACAGGTTTTCCAACCCAGAATAAACCTGAAGACATGACTGTGTGTCTAAAAGCCTATCCAACTTCTTTCCAACTGTATCAGTCAGTCAAAAGATATTCCCACCCCTGCAAAACCTTGCTTCTCTTGCAACTCAATGCTACTTACTCGCAGACAAAGGCAGACAAGTAGTAGGGTACCCCTCCATGAATACAAAGCGTTCTATACTAGTTTATACTAAGTGAAAACAAAGGGAGGTCTGTACGAAAAGAACAGCTACATGACTAAATTAAACACTCCTGTATTCTGAAGAGGACCCCCCTCAGCAAAAGAACCAAAGCGTCCCAGACTCCTCCTTTTGGGGCTGGGGTTGAAGGGGTGGGGTGCCAGAGGAAAAGAGATAAGTCCTGTTTTGGAAGAGCTGTTTGAAAGATTCATGGAAAATTCAGATTCTCTTTTCTTTTGCTAGCCAAGGACATGCTGAACTCCCATCATCATCTGCATCACGCACGTAACCGGTATAGGAACACGCACGTGCTTGGGCAACATAGAACTCTACTGGAGAGAAGAGAGAGAGGCCTCTCTGTTTTATAACAAGAGATTCCAGCTCTTAAGTTACAAGAGTACTTGAATCTCAAATTGTCAACAGATTGAAAAACCAGTCTGAGAACGGTTTGCACTATAAACTTGCATTATTGCTGCAGCATAGAAAAGTATTTTTTAGAGCACTAGCTTGACTTCTATCTCTGAAGACTCTTGTTAATTTGAGATCTCTTTCTTCATACTACTACATCACATTGAATATCAATACTGTATTCAGATGACACCATTTCTACTGAAAAGTCTAAGATACATCCGTGAAGGTAGACTGCAAATTTCCATAAAATTTGTGCTCAAAATTCCAATCTAAGCCTGAAACAGTATGAATCTGAGAAACAATATTCCTTCATGGATTCATCCTTATTCAGTCTCAAACAGTTTCTCTAGTTCTTTAACAAACCCATAACCTATTTCATTCTGCTACAACATCAGCCACCATTCTTCACCTAGTAGGTAACAGCAAATGTAGCAGGTTACACCACTACAGCAACACTGAGCAGGAAAATAACGTATCTATGACTGACAGAAATACCTAGAGGGCAGACCAGAACCAGGTACGTCTGACAGACGTCCACATCACAGAATTCCAGACGCAACCTATAGGTACTGCAGCTTCCAAAGAAAATTCTTAACTGCCATCCACAGAGACGTTTGCAGACCCTGTTCCCTGAAAACAAGAGCGAATCATGGACTTTATTTTTGTATGGACTATTGGCCTGGATACAACCAGTTCCAGACTGCACAGAAGAGGTTAACATCTAGACAATAGATAAACATGCACCTTCACTGGGCATCTCCACTGCATGAACTCCAAGTAGGACCTACAAACCCCTCAACTTTGAAAAATACCTATGTTGTATTAAACTCCAGGAAGCAACAAGGAGAATGTCCCTGTGTTAAAGTGCTTAAAGCAGGGAGTGACTACATTCTCAGTAATTCTCAAACATGCAGAAAACTAGCTGCCTGGAAGTTCTTCCACACCAAAAAACCCCTTAACTTCTGTCTGCTGAGTCCTCTGGTCATAATTAGTCTATAAAAATAACAACCTTCTAACTACCTTAATCTTCAGTAATTCTTTAGCTTAGATGGCAAAGGTTTGTGCTTTTGAGGCTGAAACTTAAAAGTTCAAGTACTGCTGGCCACTATCTGTAGCATTCTAGTTACATAACAAAGAAATATTTGCACTTTCACTTCTTTAGTCATTCCTTTTCTGCTCATTAGATAGCCAGATCAGAAGTGCTTTTTCTCCCACGCTTTTCAGTTCTAAGAGTCAGATGATCCAAGAGGATGCACATGCCCCATGTCGTGCTATTAGATGTGTGCGACAAGATGTTGCACTAATACAGCTGAGTAAGGAAGACGAATTCTACATGATACTACCACTTAAATCTTCAATGTCTCAACATGCTCAGAATGTTGAGAGGAAAGGATCTTTAAAAGTAATACACTGAGAGGATGAACATCATTACCAATGCCATGATGAATAATCCATTTTGATAATTTAGATAATTTAATAAGAAATTTAATAAGAAGGAAAGTACCGATCTCATACATCAAGTATCATGTAACCCAATTGTAATAAAATGCTTTAAATGCTATTCTACACCCAGTTGATGTCAGGAAGAGTTGTGTGCAGAATGACTTGAGAATGGGAAGCTATGTTGCAAGTACAGCTCTCCAAAACTAATTGTGCCCTAATGGAGAACACAGATTTGATCTTCTGGCAAGCTCCTCTCAATTCTTTGTAATTGACTTAGTTTCACTTATGATCCTTTTGAATGACCAAAACCCATTCATATAACTCGAAGGAAGTTTTTTCTAGAACCTTCCATTTGCCAAAGGCCTTTGTTGTGGTCTAACAGACCATCAAGTACATACAGAAGATTCTTAAGGCTATTCAGGCAGATGATGAGTTGCACAGCCTAGCTTAGATGCTATACTCTGGTGTCCTACAGTACATCTCTGCACTCCTACTTCATTGCATATTAATTTAACCTCCCGTAACCCAAACACCTTCACTGCAGGAATTCTGATAAGACCCTGATCTTCAGTGCTATAAGGCTTTTGGACTTACTCTTGCGACTTTTACCACGATGCAATTCAAAATGGAAGAGACTGCTCCCAAGGATTTTTTTCCCCTGTTAACATAAGGTATTAAAAAGCCTCACTGGATTTACTGACCTCCCATACTATTATGAATCACTTAACTAACACACAGAAAGGAACTCTTGATATGAAAACACAAGCCAGGGATTAGTGGGGAAAATGAGAATTGAAGTGGTGCATAACTCATTAGAGAATCTATCATAAACATACTGACTCGCAGTACCTGGCCTGGCATGTACCCATCAGGTACATGGCCTGCTATCAACGAGCTCTAGTTTGTCCAGTTTCTACCATCACAGAGCATTTGGTCCAAAAAAGTCTGACCTGGACTCAGCTAGGAATGGAACCCTTCCATACTTACAGACTACTGTCTTAGCAGAAGGAAACCCGAGCCATAAAGATGTGATAAGGATATACTGCAACTATATCAGATGTTTCTCAAGCAGCAAAGTGTTAACTACCCAGGCTTCAGTTGCTTAAGACTTGAGATTTAACATATTCCACATCCAAGAGGCTAATTAAATAATTGTTACCCTGTCCCAAGTGAAATATTCATCATTCCTTGATATGTGGAAGACAGCTTAATTATCTGGCAATGTATTTGTTTCAATGCTAGCAGTTTCCTCTTTGATCATAGAGGTCATAACATTGTCTGCATCTACTTCAATAGTGTCTCCTTGTGAAAGCTAGATAACAAGAAGACTTAAGAAGTAACTCCAAGAAACAACAACCCCCCTCAACAGCACACCTATAGGAGTACAAATATAACAGTATCTACGAGAGAAGTAGTTAAGCAAGTGACTGTCAGCCCTCATCACATTACGTAACAGCATTACAAAAGTGTCACACGTATCACTGGAACACTCATTTGTAGGTAATTTTATGAATATGAATTTATAGCGTGATAGGATTTAGATACATTGCATCTGCTAAACACACACACCATTGTTAAAAAAAAACCAAGCCTACCTGGTAGGCAACCTCAAAAAACCCCAGACCAATAGATATTACAGTATACCTTCTTCTCCTTATTTACATCAAAAGTTATCAGGTCCCAGCTTAGTTAAAGGCAGCCAGTTTAGACTGAAAGCCACCAAGTCACTGAACAAACTGAACTCCTTGAATTTTTACTTTCAGCCCACAAGTCTTTATTATTCAGTTCATATAGACTCACCTTAGTCCATGGATGTGCCTTAATCTGAGGAAATTTGAATTCAGTATAGTTTGGATTCATTTCTCTAATTTGCTCCCTTGTAGGCGTTCCCAGAACCTAGAAAGGAGAGAGAAAAGAAGGCAAATACTTTAGAGATGCTTCATATTCATATGGTAGCGAAGAGCACAGTATAACCTATCACATACTGAGTCAACTGAAGTTAATCTGTGTAACTAGTAAATTAATATGCTGTTGAGAACAAAACAAAACTTTTATAGAACTGTTTAAGTTGAAAGGGACCTCCCTCTCCTGAGAGCTTCTGATTCAACCCCCCTGGCTCAATCAGGGTCAGGTGGAGCAGGTTGCTCAAGACCATGTCCAGCTAGGTTCTTCTCCACAGAAAGAGACTTCACAACCTCTCTGGGCAACCTGTTCCAGTTTTTGACCACCCTCGCAGTAAAAAAAGTGTTTTCTTGTGTTCAAATGAAGTACCACGTGTTTTACTTTGTGCTGCTGCCTCTTGTCCAGTCAGTAGGCATCACTGAGAAAAGCCTGGTTGTTTCTTCCTCATTCCCTCCCACCAGGTATTTATACCCATTGACAAGACTTCCCTGAGCCTTCCCTGCCTCAGGCTGAACAATCCCACCTCTTTCAATCTCTCCTCACATGACAGATGCTCTAGTCCCTTAATCATCTTTGTGGCCCTTGCTCCAACTTCAGTACTCTCTCGCTGGCAATTCAGTTCGTGCTCCAAGCTCAGTGCCAAAAATTTAATTATCTTCTACGTTTTTTCACAGAATTCAAGCATCTTTCTCAAACTTCGTGATATTTCAATGGGAAAGAGAGTTCACTCTAATTAGACTGTTAAAAACCAGTACTGCCAAACACATTTGGGGATTGCAGCTCACTGCATATGGCTGATTAAAGATCAGAGCAGTAGCACAGACTGCATTCTACAAGTCATGAACAGCAGCCCTCTGATGAGCTTGAAAGATCAGCCAGTAACTGCTGAGGGGAGCCAGAGAGGTTCCACACCCCCACGCCAAACTATGTGAGTTTTGATGGTGGTTCCCCACCCCAGTATTTCCACATGGAAGATAAATTTTGTTTAAACCTAACCTGGAAGCATCGAAAATGCATACCGCTCCTAGTACACTTTTACAAATTTACATTTCTCATTTTGAGAATCTGCACAATGTTTATACCTATATATAAAAACTGCAAAGCACATTCAAGGAATGCCATGGTTTTCTGCTTGCACCCAGTTGCTGGGTGTCCTTTTATTCCGCAGACAGAAGTGGCAAGGGCAGGAGTTGCTACTGAATGCTGAGGTCAGGTTCATCTTCCTATAGGAACTGCGTAGTCACACCACTCTTGCCCTGTGGCCAATCTCTCACCATACAGATTGGTATGATGTTATCACCTCATCTCATGAGATTGTACCCTCACCATCGGGAAACAAATGATCTACAACATGACGTTAACAGTCTACCTTACTGCCTGATAAAGAAATATTTGCTTACATACTCTGGTATCGGTGAACATTTTCATTCTGTTGGAAGAGTGGAAATTGCACAAATGCACTATAAAGAGTCAGGTAAAGGGGTAAAAGAACAAGGTAATTGCTGTTTTATTAATTTGTGCAACAGAGAAACTATCCTCAGGTACTATTGAAAGGAAGTTGGTATCTCTTTATTATTTAAAATATGAGCTGTATGACACAAACTAAAATAGCTACCTACAAAGCAATCTTAAATGAACAGCAACAGAGGAAATAAACCCTGCAGCTTGTTGAGACAGCTGCTTCTTGGAAAACAGATTTAACTGACAAGTTGTACAAAACAAATGATCACGTAACTCCTGCCCTTCCCATCACTAACCAGGATTTGAATCCCACCTACTCTAAAAGCCAAGGGTTACCTTCAGAGCTGACAGAAGATTTTTCAGTGCATGTCTGAAAACACTGGTTTTTCTCAGGTGGTAGAAAAGAGGGTGTTTGCAGGATTCTGTACATTTTGCTCAACTTTCAAAGGAAAGAAGAGTTGACAGGAAAACATGACCCTTCCTTGCAGGTTTTCTATTTGTTTTCCCCGCAGCACACTGGCCACCGAGCTGCCAGCCCTGCCAGGATGGCACTGCTCTCAAAGCTTTCCAGTTCTAAAAGATGAGGGGATTTCACACCTGCAAATATTATTTTCATCCCAATTCAGGAAAAAAAAAAAAAAATTTCAAAACCCTGGAAGTTTGTTTGTTTGTTTGTTTGTTTTTATTAGTTAAATTAACTTCCTCAAAAATTATGTATAATTTGTATTGCTTTCCCACCATTTCTAAAGGCTAAGTTTTCAGGCCTCCCTAGTATAAACAGGTCTTTTTTAAAAACATGTTTACCTTCTTTACCCTCCTCCTCCTCCAAAATTCCTTTAATAGCCTTACTAAGAAGAGGCAAAGAATAGATTTTTCCTTTTTATATATATAGCCAAAATTCAGCAAACTGGTTCAGTTGCCAAGGCTGCTCAGAACAGGAGCCTACACAGTGCAAGTATCTTTATTTAAAGACTGCCTATAGCATCAGAGAGAATTCAGATTAGATAGGCAAGGACAATTTCACAGAAGGGCCCACGGACAATGTCTATTCATACATTTCTCTAAAAACACAGCTGTAACTCCAGATGATGGGAGGGAGCAACTCCTAAACTTGAGCACAGGAATCTAAGCAACAGCGCTTAAGGTCTCATGAATGCTTGGAAAAGAAGGTACTGAAGAGGGATCATGCTAGCTGAAAGAAAGGATTGCCTGACCTTTCAGTTACATAGCAGCCTTTGACAGAAGAAATAACTGTACAAAAGGAAAAGTGACTTATATTAGCCACTCAGTGTATTCACTTTGTTCTCTCTGGACTGTAAAGCCAGACTGTGCTTTCAGTTTGTAGTGAAGCCAGATTAAAGCAAAAAAAACAAAGCAAAACAATTCCTAACAAAAAAACAAAGAGGAAAGGAAAGCAGATAGGAAGAAGAATGGAAGTTTTAAAGACTGTGTCAAATGCAAATCATAATCCAAAAGAAAACTGTGGGGTGAATAAAGTGATAAGCTACAGAATTGCAACAGTCCTTGACCTGTCTGGAAGAGGACCTGTAGTGGACATCTCCCACCCCCCAATGCACAGTTTGCCTCATGATTTTGAAATTGTACCTCACTGACTCACAGTGAGTTTTCAGCATATTAGAAATACACTCAAGTAACCTGGGTGAGTAACAGCAAACATTTAAGCTATTGCAAAAACTGGGCAAACCTCCTCTTTTAAAAAAGTCATGTATGTGACTGTTGTTTCTGTTTGAGATGCAAAGGAGAAGCATAAATTACTTTGCACATGTTTGGCAGAACTACTCCATGAAACAGCTGCTCTTGCTATACCGACTCTGAAAATACTATGGAGCAGATGTTCCTTGGAGAGAGGTTTCACAGAATGGTTGAGGTTGGAAGGGGCCTCTGGAGGTCACCTGGTCCAACCCCCCTGCACAAGCAGTGCCAGCAAGAGCCAGCTGCCCAAGACCATGTCCCGATGGCTTCTGAGTACCTCCAAGGACAGAGACTCTACAACCTCTCTGGGCAACAGCTTCCAGTGTTTGACCACCCTCATGGTAAAAAAACATTAACTTGTGTTCAGTTTGAATTTCATGTGTTTTAATTTGTGCTCATTGCCTCTTATCTTGTCACGGGATGCCAAAGAAAAGAGTTTGGCTCCCTCTTCTTTGCACCTTCCCTGATCTTGAAAAGGTCAGAGAGCTTTTAAGAAATACAGGGTTCAATATCAAATTATTCAGGTCCAAGCACATTAGCACTTAGTGTTCCACTCCTTCGGGATGGTCTTAACAAAGGTGATATTGTCAAGGAAAAAGTTGGTGCGTTTGGGGTTTTTTTGGTAGTTTTTGTGTTTGCTTGGTTTTCGTTTGTGGTGTTTTGTTTTGTTGTTGTTTTTTTTTTTTTTTTTTTTTTTTCCCTCCCTTAGACATTTGAAAAAAAAAAAAAGATAATCAAACCAGTGTAAGTACTAGAATAATAAAAATGTAGTTGTCTGCTGGTATCAACTGTATCTAGAATGAAGACTAAACTTCTGAATGAATAAAAGGAGTCTATGTGAGACTACAAGTGAACTCTGTGCAAGCAAAGAGAACAGGTCAACTAGTCTTGCTCTTCATTCCTGATTGTCATCATCATCTCTTAAATAAAAATAAAGAAATGTTATCTACCAAGATTAAATGAAGAATATACTTGCTGAGAAGACAGACACTGCTCTGGTTCTCTTAGGACAAAAATTGAATATAATAGGTTTCACAAGTATTTTCTGGAAAGTTTTTCCTTGACATTAATCTATAACAGATGAAGCTCCCCAAATAATTTTTATTCTATGAGCAGGGTTCATGAAGGTAGGTAATGGTATGTATCTCAAGCAATTAAAGAAAAGCTACAGGGTCCCAATAATATCTTCCTTACCAAACAAGGAGGGGAGATTTATGAACCTGGAATAAGCCCTAAGTTCGATTACAAATAGCATAAAGATCTTAATTTTATATTCTTGCAATTGAATTTTCATAGGAGAAAAAGATGATATTCAGCTCCAAAAGACACCTTAGTTATACCCTAGTACTGAAGACAGATGCTGTCCACACCTGGCTTCACTGTGCAAAACTATGCCAAGTTAAACCCACAATGTTGCAACACCACAGGAAGAGGTAACTGCAAGGGTCTCAAATCCCAGTGGGATAAAGGCCCTTTCCAACAACGATTTTTACTGCTAAACTCTTTGCCAAAATGTTAAAGTCAGTCAAAAGCATAGGGACACCGAGAGTCCAGAAGCTCTGACTGGTAATGAATGACTGAACTGGAGAGGGGAGAAGATGGTTATTTAAATCAGAAACCTCTAGAAAGCCATGGTTACAGCAGTATAGTGATCTTCCTTGGGAAAACCACAAGTTTACAAGGAAATGTGCTCCAGAAAGTCTGGTGTGTATGGCTTACCAGATGGCATAATTAATACTTCTGCAAACATGTCTGCACCTCTTCAGAAAGTTGTGAGAGGTCTGCCAAATAGTTATTTAAAAAATTCACAGTGCAAGCAT